CTCTGCTCAATAAGTCCAGTGTCTATGACATGAAAGACACCCAGCCTCGCTGCTTCCGAGGGCGCCCGCGAGCAGAGCTTTTCTTCGTCTTCTGCACGCGAAAAGCCGCTACGTGGCGGGGCTGCTAGTAATTATGCATATTACTTAGGTTTCACTATTCAATTAGGAAGACCTAAGATTTTCGATATAGGCGGCTCTGCCGCAAATGAAACAGATAAATACAGTTTCAATTTTGAACGGATGGATGTATTGCCTTGGTTAAGGTTTTGGATACGCTTGGAGGTAGCGGATTGCGATTCGCTACACTCGTACTGTTTCTGGTATAAAACAAAGGTCGGTGATCTTAAGTGAGCTTCCTCTAAGCAAAGAGCTACGGCAGCCCCGCTGCACAATTGACGTATGACGTTCAATGTATTTACAACAAAGTGTGACTTCAGCAAGTCGATCAGTTTTGACAAGGAAACGTACTGTTGAAGAACCTCATAACAAACCTCCTTGCTGAATGCCTTCTGTTTCGAACTAGTGATTTGGTCTTAAACTGATTCTTATGCCTTGAGCTAACCGATCCAATTGCGCAGATCTGCGAGCGTGTCTGAGATACGTCTCATACAGCGAGGATACCATCCACGTTGTGTATAGGGACCATACTGTATGACAGTTTCTGTACACCTTATACTTACATACAATTGTTCGAATACAATATTGCACAATTGTACGAACCCACATTACTCTTTTGTGTGATTATTGATTATCTAGAAGTGTAAGAGTCGCTACTCAGGAAACGATGGTGACTCTGTAAAGTAGTTTCCTAGGTACACTTGCGCTGTTCGCCTCACGTCAAGCATTGAAGATGGCATTACTTTTGGCTAAAATGTGTTTACGTTTAGTACTATTTTAATCGAAATAGCTCAAATATATGTCACGATTTATACAACAGGCAAAGTTACTTTAGATGCAGTCGTTTGTCTCCTGGATAATTCTTACAAAAGTAAACTTCTACACTTTGTTTACGTGGACTGTACGAATCGGGCTTATCTGTACCATGTTCTGTACCATGTGTACAGAAATACTGTTGCATTCGTTCCATTGCAAGTCAATCCAACGACAGAGTTGTGTATAGCACTTTTTCATCCGTGAGGATAAAACCAAAATCCCAACTGATAGCGAAGATGAAGCCAATTTTTAGGCTACTAATATTGAGTGTACAGTCGCACGGGGACGGGACCGAAGTCGATTTACCGCGCACGATACCCAGAGAAAACTTCGACTCAACATGTCCGCGTCAGCAAACGCACACAGTTCATAGAAGTGACCTATATAAGAAAAACTGAAATCAACCATATACGCTTAAATCTATCTCGTGATCGAATTGTTTCGATCACTTGACGTGGGGATAGCAGTCCTATTGTACCATGTACCTCTTTCTCTCGAAGCCCCATCGTCTTTATCAATACCAATATTTTGGTCCCATTGATAAATCGCAAGCACAAAACAGTGTGGCGAAAATTGCATACAGTTGTACAATATTGCGCTTAGAAAATTGTACGGCAATCAAGTAGTGTGCACATCATTGTACACAGGTTAGTACTGTACATCATTGTACAGTACTAACCTGTTATCCCTACTAGAATGTGGGCCACACTGGGGCTCAAACTTTAGGCTACCGAGGTCTAACTCCACGCCTCGAGCTTTACCGTGCTCGCTCCCCAGAGGATACACGTACGAGGAGTCTACTCCCGTTAAGTTCATCAAATTTTCGAGCAATCTCCGAAATAGGTGCAGTCCTTGCCACTGACACTCTTGATATAATAATTGGTGACGATGCCGAGTCGCTCTACGGAGAGATCATTCAGAAGCGGCCCTTCTCACCCTCATTCGAAGACATACGGTCTAGCCGCTCATCATAAAATAGGTGCTCATTGTGCTCCGCCTCCCTTCTGAACGAAGTACCACCTCCGTACTATTTTCGTCGGTGAATAATGTTGCACCACACAGCTGATTAATTTGCAACGATAACCACAACATCACCAGTAAGTTTGAACCTGCTTACAAAGTCGAGCGTATTCATAAGCGAGCGCGAGATTCACACCGATTGTACAAACATCACGCTGTGGTTATGACTCAAAGCATTCTACGTTTCTCACTGCGCTGGGGCGAACCCTAACACGTTCATGCGCATAGTTTCTACTCACACCGACAACCGAACGCGAGAAAGTCGCTTTGTAAGAGCTTTCTAGCCACACTTCATCATTCCACAGAAGTACCGCCTGTGTTTAGAGCAGCAGCTGTCGGTAAAGTCTCGTACTCTTATTAAGATGCACTTTGGGTACTGAAAGCTAGCGAGGATTTTGATGCGACCATACTTATTTCGCGCAGTGGTTATGAAAAACGTGCTGTCTCAACCGTCTCAAAGCTTTGGCAAGTCATTTCTAGTAAACCAATATTTTGGCTAGGCCGTAATTCTATTGTTTGGCTTGATAAAGTACAGAGCACAACACGGGAGCCAAGATTGAGCCCAATTACCTCCAATCAATCCAACATCAATTGACCCGCTCGTTCCCATGATGTAACGGGGTTACACGTACCTTTTAAGAAGAGCGGAACGCACAAGATTGTGCGACCGTATATAGGTGTGTATTACACAGTGTAATCACACAGTGGTTTGGCTATACCGTAACAAGAAGCCACCACGTGGCTGGATTGCCAGTAGTAATGCATGCTACTATATTAATTAGGTTTTGCTGTATTAATTGTGTATTACTATATTAATTATGAAAACCTAGTGTTTTAGATTTAGCGGCTATGCCGCGACTAAAACGATTGAATACAGTTTAGTTTTTTAAACAGTAGTTTTCGTTTGCCTTGGTAAGGTTTAAGTACTTAGAAGTAGCTAAGTGCGATCCGCTACATTATTACTGGTGAAAGAACGCAAGGTCGGTGACCATAGCTTAGCTTTCTCTAAGCAAAGAGCTACGGCAGCCCCGCTGCGCATGATACAGCGGTTACAGTCACTGATCAAGTGCCACGCTAACAGCGAATTGGATCCTACTCACTACTGATAAGCTCTGCGACAGGCAGCCCTGCTTCTTCCAGACGGGGTTAAAGCCTAGCGTTTGCATAATTTAAACGGCGATGGAACCAATGCAGTCTTGTCAAAGTGGCGTCTCGAACCCTCATGAGTCGAAAAAAAGGCTTCTTTCCACATAACTATATACTGGTAACAGCCCTGATATAAACACTGACCCACTATGCGCTCCACATGGTCGCCCAACTTGGCTCATCGAGCATCGCTGATAGTGATCGATCCTCCTGTGGACGGAGCTCGTGAGAGGTCATCCAGTTGTGGTGGCACGTCGACTCTCTCCGGGACTCTCGGCATGCGTCTCAAATTAAAATGAGTCAAATCTCGGATGCAGTCTCGGAATTTGGCTATCGTCCTGCGTGGTTTGAGGCACCTTCAGTGGCTCGGTGCCGAATCGCTTCACTTGAGCATAAGTAAACATAGCCAAGCGGTAGTAAAGAAGCTGTTTGCGCCTCAGCAGGGTCTTCACATTCAATTGGCTCGTAGAATCAAGATTGGATATGGCTTCTGCAATTCCACGTAGAACACACAACGCATTTGCAAGTTCTTCATAATTATTGCGAGTTCAACTCCATCCCTTTTTTGCTACAATCGTGAACGTTTCAGCAAAGCTTGGTACTAAAGACTGCGCACACTGTTTGGTTGACTGCATATCATTAATCCTATTGAATCTCATATGTTTCGTGTGCCTCTTGCATCGGTGTGCTGCTTCTGAGCTTTCAATCATTGGATCACACACCCTGCGCATGACGCGCAATCTCATTGTAATAAAATCACTAATTTTGCTGCAAAGCGTTGCCGGGCTGATATTATATATATCAGCAAGTCGAATAGGATCGACAATCCCCAAATAGTCAAGACCAGATCCATCTCGTGGCGGTGTAGAAAAATGTGGTTAGCCAAGCCGTTACTGGAGGAATGCATTGCGTCATTCAATGCAACCTCGATGAGTGGATGTCACACGCGTCAACACCATTTTGTAAGCTCGTATAAAGCTGTAAATTAATATCCAGATCATCACTCTACAGTTACTTATTACTGTCAAATTCGTTATATTTATTCAAATTTTTGTTGAAACGCATTGCGTGAAATGTATCGATGAACATTCCACGTTAACCTTTTGACATTACTTAAGGCTTCACGTTGCCGCTTCTTTAATGAGTTTAACGGAGATTTCGAACAAAAATGATGCACTCCTTCGTGAAGAGAGCTTTTCATGAAATTGCCTCCAATGGAGATTTTGTCCGGATAACTGGAAATCCACCGCACTGAAGAGATCCAGCACCAGGGGGTATTTCCCTCTTCTCATGAATCAGTTTCACCGTGATAGCCCTCATCTTTGACAGGGCAATACGGAGTAGTCTGAGCTACCTAACTTGCTAAAGTTACAAATAGCAATTCAAAATTGCCTTTATCTAAAGAGAAAGCTTTGCTTGACCCACATCTGCTATGGTTCGAACGATGAACATAAGGATGCAGTTATAAAAGAAAAAATGCTAAACAGCAACTACTTTGGCAATGGCCATGAGTCTTTAAGCTCGACGGTTGTGAGAAGCATTTCACATTTTCAAAGTAAGCAGAATTTTTTCAGATTTAGACTGCTGTCTAAGTGCCGCATTGTGTCGTGATAGGCAAAAATAACCTTAATAGGATGCAAGCAGCTGATCAGGGATGAAGATTGTCCAACAGCTTGATACCAGCGAGGACAAGAAACAAAACATTAATTCTGGTCAAATGCAGTGACATCAATTTTTTAATGAACAAAGCGCGCAGCCCATCATATCAAGCGGCCCAATTTACGAACCACGACATAATTCGCCTTTCGCGGTGCCATTATTTCTAGACGGGGTCGCGCGAGGTCAAATCTAGAAAAAGTAGCGCCATCAATAAACAGAACGCGACGTAAATGTCGGTGACCATGACTGGCACAAGATCAAATACGATGAAAGAGATAACTATTAATTGGCAACAGTCCCGAAATGGAAGACTATCGTCAAAATTTGGGAGCAATATCACGCTTGCAGACGAAAGAACTAGAGGAGAATTCGTTTTATCAACTAAAAAGCTCACAAAGCTGAATTCAGTTAATCCGTTGGCCACCTTCATTCATCAAGCTGACAGAAACGGTAAGCAGCAGCCTATTCTTACGAGTTCCTGTGGCTTACTCAGCGAAAGATCAAATGCGATGAGAGCTCAGCAGCGAGGGAGCCTCAACAACAGATTCGTCAGTTTTCAGTCGGTGTTCGGTCCCTATCATCAAAAACACAAACAGAAAGAATCTCTTTTGAACAGCAATACCATTAAGCTGCGTCCGAGTCTATTACCTCCCACCTCTCCTTGTGAGGTGAATAGAAAATGTTTGATTTTGGATCTGGATGAAACATTGGTACATTCATCGTTCAAATCAACTGACACTCATGACTACACCATTTTGATTGACCTCGACGGTACCGCCTACACCGTCTTTGTGTGCAAGCGGCCTGGGGCCGAAAACTTTCTGGCTAATATGGCCAAAACCTATGAAATTGTTGTCTTTACAGCAAGCCTCAGCGCGTACGCAGACCCAGTGCTTAATAAGCTAGATCCGAATGGTGCTATCAGCTACCGGCTTTATCGCGAGCATTGTGTTCAGTACAAGGGCAATTATGTTAAGGACCTTTCGCTTCTCAATCGTGATATCTCCAAAACCATTCTCATCGACAATTCGCCAATGGCATATGCTCTTCATCCTCGTAACGCCATCGGCTGCTCCAGTTTTATCAACGATCCAAATGACTGCGAGCTCGATTCTATCGCACGCTTTCTTCATAAGATCCAGGATGTGAAAGACGTTCGTGAACACTTGCACCTTTGGAGTGCACATTTCTGATTGTATCTCAAATAGTTTTTATCCTTATTAATTAGCAACCAAAAAAATAACTTGACATACAAAGGCAAATTTAATTTTTACATGCTAAGTATGTAACTCCTGTTCAAAATTCAGACAAGAAATTGTATTTGATTAAATGCCTATTTATTTTGAATATTATACTCAGTGGCTCTCAAACGTTAAGTGATAATGTCTGTACGCTTCGGGTTTTTTAACGTATGCATCGTCGTTACGATTCAGATTTTCGAATACTTCGTCCAGACCGTTTGAGCACGATACAAAATCTAAGATACTTCATATAAACCGTTTGGCGGTCAATGGTAAGTTCCTCTAGCGAATTTCACCGGTGTAAACGGTGAAAATGGTTAATAAAATTACTGCGACCAGCAAAAATAAACACAGTATCATCATAAGTAGGAGGTGATGGGGAATTGGGTTGTCTAACGTTTAAGTGTTTCTGGGGACAAGATTCGAGGAAGATACAACATTCAGTGGTTATCACCATGATCAGTCAGTACAGCGCCATTCAAAATCTTACTTGCAGCTCACCATCTACTAAAAACAAGCACACTACTCCACTCGCCTACACAAGTTCAAAACTACACCTTCAGTTTCGGGCATAGCCCTTTTTTACGAATTCCAAAAGAATCGAAATTATGATGACGGTAGCTGCTTCACAGTTGGAAATCCCGACAATTCTACCCACGAGTTGTGATGTGCCCTTGGACTCGAATCTGCCAAACAATAGTGCATTTTCCAACGCGACTCCACCAAAGCAACGGCTTGCCGAGCTGAAGGTTGTAAATCCATTGGCAAGCGTAGTCCACCAAGCCGACAAAAATGGCAAGCAACAGCCTATTCTCACCAATGTTCGTCGGGTCTCCCGTGAAGAATCGAACGCGAGGAAAATCAAGCAGCGAGGAAGCTTCCGCAACATCTTTGCTAATATTTGGTCGGCATTTGGCCTTCACAATCAGGAACAAGATCTAGAAAAGACAAAACAAGGCGAATTGTCTGGCAGTACGATTGAATTGCGCCCGAGCCTATTACCACCGCTATCTCCGACGGACTCCAACAAAAAGTGCTTGGTACTGGACTTAGATGAAACGCTGGTGCACTCGTCATTCAAACCCACTGACAACTATGACTTTATTATCCCTGTTGAGATTGATGGTACCGCGTACACGGTATTTGTATGCAAGCGACCTGGGGCTGAGAAGTTCCTCACCGAAATGGCCAAATACTACGAAATTGTCGTGTACACGGCCAGTCTCAGCAAGTATGCAGACCCACTGCTGGATAAGCTAGATTCGGAAGGTGTAATCCGCTACCGTCTCTATCGGGAACATTGTGTCCAATTCGAGGGTAATTACGTGAAGGATCTCTCGTTACTCGATCGCAACATCACACAAACAATTATAGTTGATAATTCACCGATGGCTTATGCCTTTCATCCTCGGAACGCTATTGGCTGCTCCAGTTTCATTGACGATCCAAATGATCATGAACTCGAATCGATTGCACGTTTTCTCACCAAGCATCAAGATGTTGAAGACGTTCGCGACTACCTACAAATTTGGGATTATGATTACTGAGGGGTATACTGAAGGTTATCACACATTTTATCACATTTTGTTTAATATATAAAATTACAATTGTATAATTTTGTCATTCGCTTTCATTATTCATGGCGTGCTGCCAAAAGAGACGATCGAGGCGGGAGTGTTAGAGCGGGTGATATCTCACACAACCCGTTAGATGACATCATTTAATGGAGTTTTAAAGCACAAATTGGCATTTTGGGGTCACAAAATTTAGTGTCGTTGTGTTAATTCTAGCACATATTTTGCACATCAAATCAAGAAATATCAATCACATCGTTCTGTTGACTTGAACACACTTCAAAGTTACAAATACGCTCAATTTACAGGTGAAGGCTTACAGGATTCGGCACCTCGTATGTAATGCTGCGTCAGTATTGAGATATCTAAGAAATTTCGGCTGATGGACGGAAGGAGCTTAAGTAAAAAAATACAATTTGATGGACGACTTTCGCATGCACATACTTATCCATTTGCAATTGCGTCATGAAAGCGGCAGTCAATTGTATATCGATGAGGTTAATATGTCTATCTTCGCTAACGATGTCGGTCACTTTGGTCCGGGCTCACGGACATCATATTCTTATGCATCGTAGGCATCATCAATCCCCCAACTTGAGACAACATGGTTACATCACTACGCTCTCGGCTCCAAATCCGTATTGTCACAGTAATATTGAGCTTGAAATACTCTATGCCCAGCTGCGTTTAGAAATGCAAGAGTTGCTAGCAAAACGAAGTGAAGCCCATATAAATCTCCAAGAGTCTAACGATCAAGGCAAGTGCGAATGCGAGAGCTTACTATTGCCAACTCCAGTACCGGCACCCGCACAATCGACACAGTCATTAGAGGCAAAAACCAAGTTCAATGAATCAAATTGGAAACTAAAGCTGACGGAATCGAGTAGCGGATCGACAGGTAGCGGCACAGCATCAAGTAAGCGTCACAGAGGATCGTTCTTTACCAGCACCATATTTGTGATGGCTGTATTTTTGATGATTATTCCAGTTGCTTGTGTCATTGGTTTTGTCATCCTAAGCAAGCGAAGAAGACGGCCACACTACACCCACGCATAATATAGTATGTAATATATTTGAAAATATGCTGCTGAGTAGGATTAGAATGTACTCCACTAAATAATACATTAGTATTAAAAAAACGTACTTTGTTCCACTTTTGTCGTGATATGGCCAAGAGCTCTTCGACATCGACCGAGGCGCTCACGTCTTTGGATGATAAGGCCTACAACATGTTGTTTGTCGAAGCACGCACCGTAAGTCTTGTTGGTTTCGTGTCGAACTTTGAGTCTAAACTTTCGGCCTCAAAAGCATGGCACTTTTGGCAGTAATTTACTAATTGTGGTTATTAATTATGACAGGAAACGCTACACCTGACACATATAAACGAATTTTTTGTTTGCAAGCTATGCAATGGCTACTTTCGAGATCCTTACACTTCAAAGGAATGCCTGCATACTTGTACGTCAAACCTTCTGAACATGTAAAATATATATTCATAATAGTATTGGGATTCGTTCAGTCTGCTACGGCTGCATTCGCGGGTATTATCTGTACAATCCTAAATCAAATTCCTGTTCGGTTTGTAAAATGAGTCTCGGTGCCAAGCCGTTAGCACAATTTCTGTACGTACGAATCGTGCTATCACAAGGATAATACACATCACCAATTACATGCTGTATGATGAGGCAGCCCTGATCCAGCTATGAAAGAGCTGGCAGATAAGCTTCTGCCAGACTTTCATGCAAAGGAGGAAGCGGAAGGTACTAGTTTTGCTGCTTTTACAAGCGTTAATTGCTGCTATAATTTATCGTTGCTGGCACTAGAACAAATGTACTACAAAAAGTTTGGGATCAAGCGCAAGCAGCCCGATACTCCCACCGAAACGCAGTCTGGTTCTATGACCATTTGTCGCTCGCTTGGTCCATCACCTGGCAATATGATTAGTTTTGAGCTTTATCCTCAGCGCGGGTTAGTTGAAAATTGTTGTTAATGGAATTTTTGTATTGTATTCTCAAAAGTTGTGGGTTCTTTATTCTTTCTGTTGACAGTACCGACATTCCACTGTTTCTATCTCTGAGCAAGCTGGAAGCTCCTTATATGCACACGCAGTCGCTTCTCAAGGTCAAATAAGCAAGAAAATTTATAGATTTTGTATGAAAGGCTAACTGCAATTTCTTCGTAAACTCACACAGATAATGTACCTTCGCAAGTACCTAGCGAAGAAGTTGAAGGTAGCCAAACCCGAGGAGATCGAGATTCTATGCAAAGGCACTGTAGTTGGACCAGAATATTCGCTTGAATTCATCCGACGTACGCGCTGGAAAGAAGAAAAAACGAACATGATCTTGGAATACCGCCGCCATCTTTTTGCCTTGTGAAACCACCTGCAAACTTTCTTTTCTATTTCTCACAAAATTTTTGTGCATGAGGTATTGAATATATAGCCTACGGCTTGGCGAATTCCTGGTTATTATTTAGAAGAGTGAGACGACAGTCGTGCTGTCTTCGCATTTATCCGGCTAAGAGAAATAGAAAAGTTCACGATCTAGCTTATAATGTGAGATATCTAAATCTTGTTTCTTTGGCAATCATTTACACTGCGTGACTTGTGCACAATAGTCTTTCTATTCGCCGTCATCCTTTTGATTACGATGAGAATGACGAATCTGAGATTTAGTGAAATATGAAAAAATATCGTTGACACTGTACTCACAGAAAATATTAGACGCATGATGGCAACCAACCGAGCAAGTGTTGCAATGATATTTTTAGTTATCCACCAATTTCATTCAAATTTCATTCAAATTGTATCCATTCATTTTAATTGTATCCTGGGGCATTTTTTGTAAATAAAAGCATCGAAAGAGATGATCAGTTGATGCAACGGGATTGTCATACACCTTGCACAGAAATAACTTTGACTCAAAGAGGCCACGTCAGCAAGTTCGCAAATAACGAATCCGTAACCTCCATCCAGGCGCAAAACCGAGAGATTCTAGCAACAGGATAGTTGGCTTTCGATTTAAATAGGTTTAGTTCGAACTGATACTAAATATCATCCATCGTTTTACTTTGATTACTCATATAAGTATACGCAAAAATATACACATATTCGTATGTATTGTAACAGGAGACTAGTGCCCTCTTCTAAATCAGTACTTGAGTACTGCTGAGCTTTGCATTATGAACGAGCACCATAGTACAATACGTACCCTTTTACTTTGATGACCTGTAGATCCTTACAATTCATTTGAATGGAATGTTTTTATAAATCTGATCAAATCTTAAAATCAGAATTTACAATTGTCTCGTCAGTGTGGGCTCTTATGCTAAGCTTATCCGTTCCACCAAAATGTTTATGGCACACTTCTGGGTTTTGAGGATTACCTCTCAGTACGTCGGATGTCATTCATCAAAGTGTTTTCAGGAAAATTTCTCCAATGCGAAGATATCTAATATTAACTCCTGATCTATCTACAACGGCTAGTGGCGTCTATGGACCCTTTATTAATCAAGAGTGTCATTTCAGTGACACAAACATCGTGACCAATAATTCAGAGTCATAAATTGTTGAGAAAGAAAAACACGAACGTTTACAGGTACGTCGACTTCTACTGATACTGCAAGACTCGTAGCGACAACTCGCTTTCTGTCTGCGCAAGTCTGTCGTCATGCTTACAATATTGAGAAAACGGACAAGCCTTCGAATACCTTACTTTGGCACTTCGTGAGCGCAACGCTATGTCTCAATTAATTCGGCAGAAAGCTCGACCAAAAAAATCGAAACTTAGCGCGACAGAGTTAAATCACAATTCTCTATTACGGGATTCGGTCGTGATTGGCTGAAATCATCGGGGGTATTGGGTACATCGTCTCGACTGATGAAATATTAGGTAACCAACTCAAAAAAGCTGATCCAATCGTTCTCCATTCTATCTTAAGAGACATCGTGGGAATTTATAGTAGAAGATTGCAGTATGGTGTTCCCAAAGGCACACATGACATCGTATCTGAAGTCACAAATATTCTGTGTGATACGAATGCTGATTCCCACTTGTGGATCTGTACTGGTGATGAGACCGACGTATCTCTGTCTTTTGAAGTGAGGGGTAAGCCAGTCACTTCTACTGGACACTTTCCTCGAAAGTCGAGGTTCAAGCTTTTTGGAGTTCAAGCTCCGTACACCAAAAATTTGGTATACGCTGAAGATGAGTTCAACCTTAGTACAACCCTTGATTTATGAGGAATCCAAAGTTTTATCATTAAAACTATAGGAGTCTTTGACATATTTTTTATGTAGCTAGGAACCGTTAACTCATGTTATTTTAACTGCTAATATGTCTTCAAGGCCTTAAGTCGTTCTTCTTTCCTTCAAAGCGAGACTGTCCTTCTCCATCCGAGTCGATTATCGCTTTCTCGTCGCACAAGTGTGTGTTGTATTCTAGAGACTGTTAGAAACAGAGCCCTTTTACACCTGGTAGCACTTCGAGCGGTCTTTTCAACGACAATCGTGTTAAGTACGTCGCACATTCCAGTCCAAGCCATACTCTTGTCCTCGTCCGAGCGATATGGGAGTCGGGTTACCAGTCTTTCCATCAGTACCGCAAACTGACGTGCTGACGAATGGGATGTTTCCTCATTTGTCTTCACATTGATGCGCTCACTAGTATAGTTAGCACAATTGGATGGCACTCGAGGGGATGCGAGAAGTCATCGGAGAAGCTGCTGTAGTCAATTAACTGCAGTCGTCCTCTCCGAAAGATAAAAACGCGATCGTCCGTTTCATTATCATGAGATAATGGAATCTCGGAAGCAGAACGCAACCCTATTTCTTCGTACAGAGCGATGTATCTGACGCTGAACGTTCCTTTGTACCGTGGTGGAGAGAATGAGCCTCTTTCACGATAATTTGTCGATTAAAATGCAGCAATCACAGCAAGGCAACTGCAAGGCTCTAGCAGCAAGTGCTGTATGCGATGTCCAACCTTGCGGATCGTTGGGCGTATGGCAAGCATTTAGTCGATATAATCTGCTTTAATAATACGGACACTTCAAGATCGAGCTGAAGAAGGCGTTTGAACCACCTCAGAGTGGGCTTTGTGTCTCTTGAAGCATCGTCAAGGTCGTTACGATCTACACTTGATATTTCAACGCAAGTTGTCACGTTCATGGCGGGCTTGAAAAACGGTCCGATCCAAAATAAACTGCTTCGTGAGTATCCCAAGACGCTGGACGATACCATCAACCTTGTGATGCAAGAAGAGTTCAGCATCAAGCAAGCCAAGTTCAATGGCTTTGCACCAAGGCAAGCGCGTCAGTCGACTGGTACAAGTGATGACCCAGAGCTCCTAGACTTCTCGAACATTTCCACGCCCAGAAATGAGGCTTCTCGCAGCAATGGGATGTGTTTCCGTCGTGAGAATCCCGGTCATTTAGCTCGGAACAGCAGAGTATCTTTGCCGAGTCTGCAACAGACACAGGGTGCTCGTTCGGATAACTGCGGACGCTATAAAATCGTCGGTTCGAACGGAACGATCAGTAAGGACAGAGCTCCCTACTGGAGGCGAGAAAAGTACTGTGGATGCTATGATACACAGAACTCTGGTCATGAAACGTGCATGATGCACAAGCAGTTTCCACTATGAGTGGTTTTAGTGTCAGGCAAAGTGCGACTTTGATTTTCCAAGAAGTCTTTGTAGATGGTTTTGAGAGACCAATACGAGCTCTGATTGACACTGATGCGTCAAACAACTTTGGCCGAGCGCAAGTTATGACTAGAAATGGTGATAGCCTACCCGATGTGAAAAGGGAAATGATCATCCGTTTAGCAAATAAATCAACAGTGAAGATGCCAAAGCAAGTCTCGCTTGGCAATGGAGTTTGACAATTTGCGAGATGTAGACGAGTTGATCCGACGCGACCTCGATGATAAGCTTGACATCACTCAAGTATGCCATGGTTGATGCATTTCAGCCTAGCATTGACTGGATTATCGCTGTCAACAAGTCGTCCATCGCTATCTCGAGTTGCGACGAGGGAGGAATTGGTTTGGGCGTATGCATCTGTTTATGAAGTCACGGATGTCCCAAGTGATATTGTGGTGTCCCACGTTCATGCTCAAAAAGACGAAAGTTACAGTTCAACTGGAGGTGGAGCAGTCAGGCGCAGAAAGAAGACGGTCTCCATCGACATGAATGTCATGGTGGATGGCTGTATGACGAATAGTGGGACCATAGGCAAAGACCCATCCCGAGAGAAGAATAAGAGGGCCACCAAGAAGAGTACTCCGTCAAGTATTTTGCGTACCCCTGATCAAGGTAGAAGTTTTATCAATGATGAAAGTGATCAAGAACAAGACATTTCAAGCGAGTTTGTAAATGTTGTGGCCTACAACGAAGAAAGTGACGTAGACGTTATCCGTCTACGTCACTTTCTTGACGTGGTCACGTGAAGATTGAAAACCCCAAATTCAGTCAAAATTTTGTTTCCTTGTCGTTGATGAGCAGGAGAACGCTGAAGCGTAGCCTGGCAAAACACAACGTTTCGCAAATATGTGCGATTGTTGAAGAAGCTATCGACGATGACATCAATACTGCGGAAGTACTTGATGAGAAGACACGGAAAAAGAGTTTGATGGGCAGTCGCGGGACGCTATAAGACAGATCATGTGTATGCAGCTGTCAAGGAATATGATGATATATTCCTTGACAAGGTGCTGGACGAATTGCCATCTGACAGAGGCGTTCTCAATGATATAAACATACGTCTTGGTATGAAGTATTGTATAATGCGGCTGTGGATGTTTCCGAAAGAACAACTCATAGCGATTGACGGGCTCTTTGCGCAGCGACAGATGGCTGGTCACGTGCGTGAGAGCAAGTCTCCGCACTCTAGTCCAACTTCCTGTGTGAATAAAGCCACAGGTGGTTAGCGCATTGTTCAAGCATTCAACAAATTAAACGATGCGAACATACCTGTCCAGAATCCGGGTCCACGCAAGGATATGATTCTTGAGGAAATGGTTGCTAAACCGTTCTTGGTGCCATTGGTCTGAACGATAATTTTTGCGAAAATGATACGCCGCTAATTGCATGCAGTACCCCAGTGGTATGTGGGAATGATCAATGGTACCACATGATTTTATAAACGCCCCCGCGACTTTCATCAGAATGGTCACGAATTTTCGTCGTCCGAGGAAATACTTCGACGACTTATTACTTTCATATTGAGAAAATGGGTGAGAAGTCTGATGTCGATGATCATCGTGATCATCTTCGTCATGTCTCCAAGTTATGCGAGAGCATAAACTCTACGCAAACCTGAAAAAGCGTATTTTCTTCGCACCTGAGGTCCCCATCCTCGGCTGCTATGTGGGCCATAATGCCGTTCGTGCAGATCCAGAGAAAGCCAAAGCTACCAGTGATTGGCCTGTGCCAAACAATGTGAAACAGCTGAGACGACAAAGCTGCCAGTGATTGGCCTGTGTAAAACAATGTGAAACAGCTGAGACGACATTTGCACAAATACACGCGAGATTATTGTGCAACCCCTAACGACTCATTTAGAGAAGAACGGTGAGTGCGAATAGTCAAAGATCACTTGGCGGTATTTGCCAAAGTGAAGAAGAGCTTGAAAAAAGCTCTTGTACCTGTGATTGCAAACCATGATAAATCTTCTACGATGCAAGTGATTATGCCATCGGTTGGGCGTGATGAGGGGCGAGAGCGAATTGTGTTGTATCAGTTGCGACGACTCCGGCCCATGGAACGGAACTATCCTGTTCATGACAAAGGCCTTCTAGCAAAGAAGTATTCTTTGTTTCATTTCCGTGTGTACTCGTTTGGAGAAGAGCGCTTTGCGATCTATACAGATCATGCCTCGCTGCATACGGCAGTAATCACTCCTAATTTATCGCAGAGAATGGCTCGTTAATTTTCTTCTTTGCGGATTACAACTTTGTTGTACACTACAAGCAAGGCAAGACGAAAATTTTGGCGGTTGCGTTCGCAAGACGTTCGGACTATGATCCAAAGTCCAGGATCGAGAATATGCACGAGTATGTCGACAAAGCGAATATATCAGACGATCAGAGTGCAAGCAATGACTATAGTGTGCGATGGAATTGTCGAAGGATACATGTCTGATATCAGGACTTGTACAAAGTACTGCAAGGTCTTCCGTCTCGCACAAGATCAAGTGTTCACCGTTACACAATGAATTATTGTACAATGCAGTTGAAAACGGGATACAGCAAGGGTTGTTGCTCCAACTAACGAAGGTTTGCGTCATCACCTCTTACATGAGTACCATAACAGCTCTTCGGGTGGCCATCTCGGGTGTAAGAAAACGTTTCTCAGTTTTTGGGATTACTATAAGTCATGCATGTGTAAGTGGGTCCGATAAGCTGTGATGTTTGCTAGAGAGTAAGACCATCGGGTTCCACTCAAACCCACTTCGATCGCTGCTAGTGCCAACAACCAGCTGGATTATCTAATATGGACTTCATTTTCGGACACACATGGACGCAGTGGCATTCTTTTGTTAGTTGACCGATTCAGCACGATGGTTCGTCTTGATCCTGTTTTAAATAAGATCATTACCTTAAAGACACCTTAGGTCTTTGTAGACGTTGTTTTCCGTCTGCATCGCCTTCCTGTTGAGATCGTGTCTGATCGTGACACGCGTTTTACGTCGATGCACTGTTTGGACTATTGAGCACCAAATTGTCCATGTCAACAGTGGCACGCCCTGAATTAGACGGTCAAACAGAGCGCGTGAATCGAGTTCTGAGGCAGTTCCGCGTAATTACGCTACGTCATTTAAAGAGAAGTGCAGTTCCTCTGTTGCAGCGTTTGCGTTGAACAACTCACGCATGTCTCGAAAGGTCCTTCGCCAATTTATGTGAACTAAGGTATTCATTCTAGAATACTTGCTTCCATACTGGGCGATGTCTCTACCTTTAGTGAGAAGAAACTATGGCTATAGAGATACAGTCAACTCTAAATGCTGTCACAGAGTTAGAAGCGGATTTTGACTCAATGAGACCTATTGATGACATCACAAGTCGTGAGGAACATCCGTCGATGACTTTATTGCAAAGAAACAAGCCGTTGTGCAGTTTGATCAAGAAGCAATTGCGAAAGCTCAGGATCTGCAAAAAGAACAAGCATATAAGAGCAGTAGGGAGAACAAGAAGGTACATAAGGTCAGAGGTCTTGTACTACTGAACATGCAGTGTCCAACTTGAAAAACAGAAAGCTTTTGCTTAAATTCATTTTTCGTTGAATGCAACTGCGATGTTTAATTATTACCGCATGCGCCTACATCCTACATTTTATGTAGGTGGGGTAAAATCGTATCTTCCGAGTGGACCTGCCGACCCTACTACACCTTTGTTAGATGATCGAGCTGATTATGAAGTCTCTCCATTTGTCCAAGTAGAGCAAACCACTCTTCACTCTGGGGATTCTTCTCGGCGTACAAGCGCTAAAGGACACCAAAGGATTAAAGGATTGCTACTTTACTGGTTCCAGCGCTTGAAGGCGACAGTGGTGCTCACTACGGAGTACATTGAGAACAGAGCTTACCTTTTCAGCATAGCGCAACAGGATTTCGTGAGCCAACTCACGAGCTTTTTCGTCGAACAAGTTCATCATGAACCTGTTTGAACCGTAGTTCGATACGGGACTCCAAAGCCGAGCATTGGGCAGAACCATCAGTCAAAATATCGAGTTTGAGCTCTGCTCTGCGACAAGATTTGAAAGGCTCTCGCAGTGATATTTAAGGGTCGAGCAACACTGCTGAAACGCTTCGTTTTGCCCGCGATGAGCACTCTTCCTCCTCCAGAGCCGCTCAATCGTATTCACGTTCAGCACCACCTCCGCTATAAGACTCTCGCGGAGAGCGTCGTTAAGTGGTTGAAAGGATTGCAGATCACGAGGATCGATCGACTCGTCATCATTGACGTAGCGGTCAAACTATCGACGCTTCTACATAGTTCAGTGGCGCGGCTATCCATCGGAGCTGGGAACGTGGGAAACTTGTCAGGCTCTAGATCCTGATGTCATCGACGTGGTCCGCAGCGACGAGGATCGCTTACTCTAATGGACCAGGTCCCATTGCATATGTTGTATGGATCACATACTCTTGTGTGTCTAACATTCACTATACACCCTGTATAGTAGTATATCCCCTTCCAGTTTTGTTGTATTAGAACTGAAGGCACTTATCAGGTTGAGAGGTGTACAGCATATTGGCTATAATAATATATGTCACCTTACCTTTCCTCTTCTTTATGTAAGTCAACGGCCCGCTGGAAGCGATCAACTCGCGGTAGGCGTTTCAGTTGACTTAAACATTTCTTATATACGGACAGGCAATTCCCGTTACACTTACAGTGTTGCTAGAGGCAACACTGTGACGATCAAAGCTTGGTTGTGCTCGGTCGTTACAGATTCCTGCCAACGCCGACTCGGCGAAGCAGACGCTCCATTTTTTCTCATTCTCAAGGCGAACAAATGTTCGCCATAAGTCGAGCCTGGCTACGATGGTTTGGGTCGGATCATCACGATTGGTGATCCGACGCCAACAAAAAAACGTTCCGTGTAGAACCTCTTATCTCCATTTTGGCTGAGAGTGGAAGAAACCTCAGAGTTCTGGACCCGTTCTTTGCCATTTTGGCGAAGAACGCTCCTAAGTGTTGGTCTGTTCACTTGATCGCTTCGTTGTTGATCGAAAAGTGAGCTGCTCCGAAAAGTCTGCAGAAACTATAATGGGCTACACTAGCTATTACGTGAAGGTACATACATAGATGTACCTTGTGTATGCATTGCGGGAATATAAAAGAAGATTACAGCATCGTGTTCCCAAATGCATACACAAAGATTTTGTGCGATAGAGAATGTTTCCTATCTAGGCATCTGTTCTGGTGAAGATACCGACGTGTCGCTGTCATTCGAAGTGGGCTACGAAAGCCCGTCACTTCTACTTGACACTTTCCACGAAAAGTGAAATATAAGCTTTTCGAAGTTTAAGCTCCGTACACCCAACATCTTGTATGAGGCTCAACCTCAGTACACCCTTGATTTATAAATTAGCATCTCAATGATTTATAAGTAAAACCTTTAGAAGCCTTAGGGCGTTATATAGCTAGGAACCATTACCTCATAACAATTCAATTGCTAATTTGTCTTTCAGGCCTTAAGTCGTTCCTTTTCCCGCTAAGTCGGGACTGCGCTTCTCCTTCCACGCCGAAAAGTGCTTTCTCGTCGCACAAGCGTACGTGTTGTGTTTGATAGACTATCGCGAACTGCACTCTCTTACACTTGTACCCTTAAGATTATCGGCCCCTCACATTATAAGATGTTGATGCCTAAGGCGATAACGTACGGAATCAGTCAAGATTTACCAACACTGTTTCATTATGCCAGTTTGAGGTTGTGTCTGTTCGGGATACCTGGCATAATTTACAATCTGATTTGGAAATTTATCACGTTTACATCAGTCGCGAATAATGATCTACTGCTGGTGTCATTTGCCTGGACTTTGCCCAAGCTGTTCGCAGTGTCAACTGGCAGTCGTAAGATATTTCTAGTAACATAAACAATTCGCAAAAGCTTTTCGATACTGTGTTTTATTGTTTCTAGCAAAGCCCTAGTAAAATTCATTATCAATAATTCTCGCTTGGACTATGAAGCATGGGGCAGGAGTGAGGCAAAGTGATCCACTTTCACCAGGCTTATTTGTGCTGATTATTGGACCAGAACTCTGATATTTACATGTTAACAATCAAGCTCTATAAATCAAGACCTGTGACTTTTTTCATCAAATTATCAGCTTTGACTGGGACAGCTTAAGATCTCCACAACACGCCGTTGACTTGAGCCCGAGCTCAAGACCTTTCTCACTGCAAACAAATGACCTAGAATATGGATTAAAATAGTATCGAATACAGCCGATACCGATCTATGCCCCACGAACGCGGAGTCCGTTGCTTATTCTAATTCAGCCTGATAGTCAGAGGCTTGAGCCTATGAGAGTATCCACAACAAGATCAAATATCGAATTATTTTGCTATTGAATAGGCTTATGCTATGGTGTGTAGCGCTTCTGTGTTGCCTTATCGCACTCTTTGTTAGCAAGGTAATGGTCACGTAAATAAACCATCTAAGTATATCATCAACTCCATAATTAGTATTTCGATGTTTATTATTGGTGAGCACATAAATTTCGACCAACCCTATATCCATACCAATGACTCAATAAATTTCAGAGACTATGCATAACTTGGCAATAGAGATCTTTTACCCTCCAAGGTTGAGTCTTTATGCTGAAGACAGTGATCCGACATATTTTGCGGCCCTTCACAGGTGTGCATGTTGTCTTCAAAGTTGTCTGTTAGTAACGTGTCTACGACAAAGAGTTCAGGTTATTCAATTGTCTCACGAAGATCTGGTTAACACCACATTTTCCTCCTCAAAAAGTGATCCAACCATTTTGTAGCCGTTCCCTAGCGAGTGACATGGAGTAACATTTGCGTCTAGTGGACGGGATCTGTATATTGTCTCATGTTCAGCGGATCTACTTCAAGTCAGCTTAACTCGCCAGCTGCTTTAGCAGTGAAGAATTAGATTGGGATCACCCAATAATAGAGAGTAAAATCTGGGCGGCACCATATCGGAAAGCAAGCCGGTACCTCTCCTACTGAAATATTTCGTCTCTCTAGTACAATTCGGTAGCACCACTGTAAGAAAAACTCTTTATTTATTTTCACTTTAATCGGATCGCTCCACAACACAACTCGAATTGCTCAAACCTTCCCATAACTGATAGACTTGCATTATACAAATTTTGCTCTTTACCCGCTCCCCACGGGCTAAACCGATCCACGTCACGATTTGCGCAGCCATTTTGGTGTGATAGACTTCTAACGTTAGCGGTCCGCAAGCCATACGACACCGACTACTACCGTCTCACCCGAAGGCGTCACAAACGTTAAGGTGGCTCTTCCCAATGGTAATTTCGCATAACGCCGTTGCTTAGCTAGTATTGTAACGATTAACCCACGACAGTCCCGAAGGGTTTACCGAAAGCGTCGAGATCTCAGAATTTTATTTAATAAAAGATAACCCTGAGTTCCAAGACCATTCCATACATCGCCAGACCCAACCCAATTCTCGGTCGCGGGGAGACTTGAGCCCTCAACCTCCAACTTAGCGATGCGGTATCATACACTCCGCCAGAACACAGAGCGGAATTTCAGACTAGCTGAAACATTTGACTTGCCCCTCTCTAAACTTGAAATTCGTATTGGTTGTATTTATCTTCGTGGTTCTGCTGGATTAATCAGATACCTTGGCTTTTTGCCGAATTGCCAGTGTAATGAAACTTTGTTCTCTGCATTTACCCCCAGAAGTAGAAGCTTCTCTACACCATATGGACTTTCGACGGTCAAAATATTATCTGCGCTCATATTTGGATCCTACACCCCCTGCGCTAGCACGGTAGCTTTGGCTATTGAATTAACCCCTCATTTCCGTGAATACTGTCTCACTCACCAGCACCCCGTCGTGATTTTCTACCAAGATACTCAAACGCTTTATTCCTACCGTATAACAGACTAGTTATTAATCCAAAATTTGGCGGATTAACACAAGACATCAATTGTGTACATGTATTGCGTCTTGGCTCTCTTTGTTTGTAGACTAGGTCTGAAATGCAATTAGGCGCTGCCAAACATTCAACTGGTCTCAAATTCTTTGCGGGTAAATTAAAATTGTAGATAAGATTTCATGCAGCAATTTGTCAGGGTTAGGAGTTTCGTTACAATTGATTGCAGCCAAGTCTACGAAAATTGCAAACACTTATGATGCAGTTCTAATGAGGTTTCTTATGACTGTTCCTTTCCTCCTTCAAAAGACTCAATGACTTCGAAACATGCAGTATTTTTGGAGAGCTCGAGGTTCCAACTTATCATTAAGTTTTCCTTTGATGTTGCTCTGTCAATCTACTTGTTCAACCTCCCAAGCTGTTGCGCAAGTTAATTGGCGACTTCCGACAATGCTAAGCCCTTTTGTAACGGGGTTACACGTACCCTTGTATGAAAGGGTGGGTCGCGCAAGATGGTGCGACCGTCCATAGGTGTGTATTACACAATTTAGTGTAATCACACAGTGATGTGGCTACACCATAACAAGAAGCCATCACGTGGCAGGATTGCCAGTAGTATTGCACATTTACTATATTAATTAGGTTTTGCTACACTAATTTGGTATTACAATATGAATTGTAAACTACATTAATGAGGAAAAGTTAGAGTTTTCGCTTATGGCGGCTCTGCCGCAACTAAAAAATTATCTACAGTTTCAATATTGAACGGAAGTTTTCGTTTGTCTTGCTTAAGGTTTTAGTACTCGGAAGTAGCAAATTGCAACCCGCTACCCTCGTACCAGTTCTTGGAAAGAACGTAATGTCAGTGACTAAGCTTAGCTTCCTCTAAGCAAAGGGCTATGGCACCCCCGCTGCACCTTTTCTCAAACATCTTATCTACACATACGGCAGGGATTTCAAGTTATAGGTGTGTGGAGTTATCACCTTGTCGCAGGTCCATCTATTTTTTGCAGCAAGATTTATACTGCTCTGAGTTCCTACAAGTATTTTTGCTTTCAAATTTTATTGCTGCCTTGCAGCGATACCCTTCTATGACAATCGGTCGCACTGCAACAAGATTTTCTTCTATGTTTTCTTCACGCAACCAAAATGGCTTTGAATACTTTGCATTGTTCTATTTCACGCTACTCAGTGTCAGCCGACAAAGCCGACGCCGCTGAATGATCGTGATGTGGACTTAGAGAGCTTTTCATTAATAGCCTTGCGCTCCAGAGGCAAGAGGCAGTGTTTCTCTGCCCACCAGCTTACTTCAACCACAGTCTCGGTTGGGAATAAAAAGACGCACGAAATACGTGGTTTTCGCGACCAGGAACTCCAGCACACTGACTTCCGATGACAATGTTAACTGAGGCATCGCAAGCCTGTTCATCGATTGACCACTTCCGTCAGTGTATAGCCTTCCATTGCGGACGCTTGCACTATGCCTTCACTGACGATGTTTACTTGGGCATTACGAGCCTATGTGACAACCGAGCAATCTCAGCCATAGCACAATATTATTTACTTGGTGGATCGCATCCTGTTACCCGACTAGCTTTGCCACCGTCAGCTTTCCACTGAACAAATTTAGCGCAATGCTTTGATCTAGCAGATTGACGTTTAGGACTCATCTGCCTTTACAAAACATTGTAATCATCCACAACAATTTCGCTAAACACCTCTTGAGCTAAGATGGTCGCAGCTTCCTTTCCAAAGCTGATTTTAGAAGTTAGAAATATTGTCAGTGCCACTATCTCGACGCAGTGACACCTCACAGTGAGGGCATTCATCTGACGTGACAACTGACTGTATTGGTGCTCCCGTGTTTTATACCCGTCTCGAAACATTACAAGTCCGCGATCGGGCCGTTAAATGTTCTACGACCGAGATTCATTTAAGCTGAAGTCGTTTCACTGGAATATCTTTGTGGCATTGTGTGTATACATTCCCGCGCACTGACATTTTCTCAGTCTGGTTTGCAAAAGCTTATTACGCTTTCATTTATTGCAGTTTGTCACCGAATTATTGCAAGTGCTGTCTGCAGTTCCAGTGTCTAAGGCTCTAGATCTCTCACCAAGACTTTACCTATTGATTACTACATACGTTAGCATGCATCGTTTGCCCGATGTACAGCTACCCGTCTTCCTACATGCTCTGTTTCAACATATGTAGCCCTTCGTACTTGCTCGGGGTATAGCTATGATCAGCCCTCAAGTGTTGTGTTACTATTCACGACTGTCACAAGAAATTTCGATGCACTTTCACGCTTAACGGCCAGTTTTTCAGGTTCTTCCACTCAGACCCACCGGCGCCAAGACCGCTTTTTTACATTTTACCTGGCGTTACATCAGCATAATTCGAATTTAAACGATTTACATTGTGGATCAGATTTGAATTTAATAAATGAAATTGCCTGATTTTTGTTATCAGACAGAGATGAATAGAATTATTCATTATGCCTTCGCTCTTCCTCCCATACACGTAGACGACGGCTTATGCAGCGGGGCTGCCATAGCTTTGCGCTTTGAGGAAGCGTAACTTTTGTCACCGAT